AATCCCACCTTTAATCATTTCTAAGGGCAAGAAGGAAAAGATTGAACGTGTTTTGGGCATTTTTATTCTTGAAACTGAAAAAGCCTGGGCCACACAGCAGTTATAAGGAAGTGGGTCGATTTAATGCTGCCACTTGTTATTCAAGGGAGCCAAAGAGATCTGCTAGTCTGGGATGCAGCCAGCACCTTTTCGTGTGCACAGTTCTCCATACCTTCACAGTTTCTGAGGGTCAGCATGCCTACTCTCTCCTTCCCAGATGGCAGAGCCTCCTCTCAGCTAACTGTTCGGTGCTTCAGGGCAATGCCTCCCCTGTTTTCCAGTTCTAAATTCTAATTTGTTGTAGTAGGCTGCATTTGGGTGTCTACCCTATGCCGCCATCTTGGTTTCTCTAATTTGAGTTTCTTTAATTACTACTAAGATTGTACATGTTTCATGTTTCATTACTACTGGCCATCAGTATATCTTATTTCATGAATTTTCTCTTCTCATTCTTCGATATTTCTCTTTTCATTCCTACTTCAATATTTATCATTTTCATGTTTATTTATCTGTTATATATTTGTAGATAAATGAGCATTTCAATTTTAATCTTACATTGCTTTACTTTTTGGCAGAGAACTTTTATATTTTAGTTCTGATTTTAAATTTTATATGTAAGTAAAAATCTGATTTTATTTTTCCACTAAATGCATACCCATTTCAATGAGAATTATTAATTGAACCATTCATTATTTTCCTATAACCTTGGCAATCTATTTTTGTCATGCATATATGACATATATGTATAAACATATTGGGGCCTGGCTTGGGTAAACTTTACATTTGGCCCATCTGTCCTGTGATAGTAACACACTATTACAATTACGTTAGTTTTATAAAACCTTTTAACTTAAAAGGACCAACTGCATTCTCATTGTTTTTTAAGTAATTTTTCTGACTGTTCTAGGTTGTTTATTCTCTCATAAGTCCTTCTGATGAGCTCCCCCCAACCTCACTCTCTTGGAACTGAGTCTTTGGAGAACTCACATCCCTCTCATCCTCTTACTATCCTCTCAGGCCCTCTGTGGCCAGGCCAGGTGTCCTAGGCTTGCTGAAAACCCAGCAGTGCTTGTACCCTCCCCTTCCTGCCCCGATGCAGCCCTCTGGTCACAGAATGCATTCCCTTGGCCTGAAGGTGTCATCTGACCTTTGGCCTCTGCCTGATCCCAGCCACTTACATGTGAAATGAAACATTCAGGGAATTAATAAACGTGCAGAGAGGCTCCCAGGGGTAGGGGGTGGTGGGGCGGGTGTGTGTGTGTCACTGTACTATTTCCTCAGGTCAATGGGCCTGGAAATGTGTGGAAAACATTTTCTTCAACCATACAAACAGGCTTACAAATAAGAATTCAGGATGTCATTCACTTAACTCTTTTATTTTTTCACTCAGCATTCTAACTAAACAAATATGAAAAGTATTGTTTTCATCAGGTAGGGAGGGCCCTCGTGAGTGGCTCAGGTTATTTGAGTCAGGAAGCCTGAGAGAGACTATATTGCTGAGGTAACTGAAAGTCAAATAGGTTAATAATCAAATTTTATGCGGTAAAGATGGGCTACATATGCTGCAGTGACAAACTCCAAATCGCACTCAAGGCCCAGGTAGATCCATCCAAGTGATCTTCAATATTTTCCCTGCATTTGCTCAGGTTTCCAGAATGCTGAGTTACACAACATATAACCACCAATGCTGCTGCTCCCACACGGCAGCAGAGAACAGGGCATTTCAGACAGTGCACTTGCCCTTATCTGTTTCTACGCAGGTCACAGACCAGCCTTCATAAGGCCTCTTGGATTGAAATATTCACAGACACACAAAAGCAACAACAACTGTAAAGCCTATAAGAAGACACCTGCTATTTACCATATGGGGGCCTAATAGACACAGCTTGGACAATAATAAGAAGTGTCTTGGTCTCTCAGTGGCTTGGTGAAACCACAAAGAGATGGCTCACTTCTATTCTCCTGGTTAAAAGGTTTTACCATCATCCACTCATTTCAGACTTTATTGTTGAGTGCCTCTATTGTGTGCAGGAAACACAGTTCTTCAACATATCATGTATGTTCAGGATTATAGCATCTCTAAGGGTATGACAAGATGCCCGCATAAATATGTAGCTTATACATATGTTGTCCCCGCTAGTAGATACCTGAGTTCTTGGCTCTAGTATATAAGCACCGGTAGCTTGAAAAGGTCAAGCACACCATTAAGCTTGAATTAAGGATATCCGGAAGATAAGAGTGATTGAGAATGCCCTGAATTTAAGCAACTCAGTTCACAGTGTTTATATCAAGGGAATTTGAGACAAACATAGAAGATCTTCAAACCAGCAAACTTCAGCGTGTGCCCCACTGTCAGTTCCTGATGGGAAGTGGGCTGGTTGAGTAGCAGGAGGGTTGAGAACCAGGAGGTGATCTGAGAATATACTATTGAACTGAGCAAAGCTTCCCTATGGAGCTGCTGTGGCTTTCACCCTCCACACCTGGAAGGACCCCAGACTGCTCCCAAGATGTCACCCGACAAGGTGAGGGTCATAGCATCTCCTGAGAGGTCAGAGTGATGCAGTCTTGGCTCCATGTGTCACCCAGGCTACTGCACTAGGGACCAAGCTACTATGGGTGGGGCAGGGCTAATGCCGTTTATTGCCCATGTTCTCTTCTGCCCATGTAGGAGTAGAGGAGAGGTCTCTGTGCTCAGAAAGGGTTAAAACCTGAATTTTTTTGAAATACTGGCCTTAGTCCTTGGCTTTCCTTGGGCTGTGTCTACAGAACCCAAATGGCCCTCCTTACTTATTCTCTATGCTGGAGAGTGAACCAGACCCCATGATGAGGTGGATCTAAAGCTTGTCCTAGGGCTTGGGGTCTCCACAGTCTTGGCCTTCAACTACCACAGGCCACTTCTTTTCTTCCTATTGAGTCACTTTTGCCATTTTTACTCCACTCGTGTCAAAGAAATAGGTTGCCTTACATGCTGGGGTGGGTAGTGGTCACTTTTAGAGGGACTGACAGACCACCATGACCTTGCATGGATCCCAATGGCCATACTGTGGTGTGTGGTCCACCCCCACAGGCCTAGTCTCTTGGACCAGAGGTGGGCACGTGACACAGGCCGATTTACTTCCACAGGAATTTTGACCTGATATCAAGCAAGAGTTTCTGACACATGACTCTGTGCTTGGGCAGTGAGAGCCGGAAGCAGTAGGAGGTGGTGGGAAAGAGACGAAGAGAAGTGAGGGTGCACAGAGGCAGAAGCAGGGAGGCCGCACAGCGCTGTGTGTGCACCCGCAGTCCTTGAGCCACCTCAGAACTCTTCATTCTTAGGAAATATCCCTCACTGGACTTAAACCACATCCACTGCTTTTTCCATTTTTATTTGTAATGAAATACCTTTGTCAGCTCCCTGGCGGATGGCGTCCAGGTGTGACTTCTGAATTGAAGATTATTAGCTCACCCTTGGATAACTGACATATTTCAGAAGCTGCCAAACCCTGGGCCTTTTTTTTTTTCAGTAATAAGAACAAGGTCTCAGCAGAGAGACTGAGCTGAGTGCTGCTGGGAGGTGTGGTCCTTGTTTTCCTTTTTTAACCTATCAATAATCACTTTATTTATTTAAATTATTTTTCATTTTTAAATTATAGCTGACATACTGTGTTATATTAACTTCAGGTGTACATCCTGATTAGTCATTACATAACTTACTAAGTGATCATCCCAATCAATCTCGTACCATCTTACACCATGGTGATTAGATGTGGCTTTTTGCTCTCAGACCTGCTGTCCTACATCTGAGGTGTGGCTGGGGAGTGTTGGGAAGAGGGGTGTGGGAACAAAGGAGGGCTGGTTTCCTTTCTTGTTGCCTCTCCTATGAGCCTGTGCTTCATCCAGATGTCCTTCCAATTTCTTAAGCACCAGTGTCATTAAACTCAACTGGTACACAAAGGCCTTTGGCCCAGAAGTTGACAGGCAGGGAGTGTAAGGGTTGGGATCATATGACCTTTCGTGTGATCAAGTTGTAGCACTGACATACCTGGGGCCTTCTGCAAATCTCCTGTCTGTGAGGTTGGAGGAGGAGGAACTGGTAAGGTGACTCCGACGAGGTGGCGAGGGGGAAAAACCTCCTGGAAAAGGCCAGGGGAGTGCTGGGGGTGAACCTGAGCATGGCTGGACTCTCTGTTCCTGAGATCTCAGCTGGAATGGGGATTGTAAGGTGGGACTCCCTCCCATGAGCCAACAGACAGTCACAATGACAGGGTAGAATGAGGTGCTGGTGTGCAGGGATGCAGAGGAGGCTACTCAACTGGGCCAAACAGTCCTGCCAGGTCAACAGATGACCTGCCAGGTCAGACCATGGCGCTGTGCTCCTTCTGGGGTTCAGGCCTTGAGGCAAGGAGCAGCCACTGAACCTCTCAGCCCTGGGGCTCCCGCTAGCATCGGCCAGAGGAGTCTGGAGCTCCGGGATAGGTTCTGAGCAGGCATGAAATGTGGGTGCCAGGGATCTTAGCCCTGGACAAAACGAGCTAATCCCTGGAGCAGGGTAAGGAGGTAAGAGAAGGGAGAGTTAAGGCTTGAGCACATCTCCATTAAGTGGTCAGGAAGAGGAGGAGGGGCTAGCAAAAAGGGATGATAAGGAACTGCCCTTAGGGAACACCAAAGCAAGAGGAGGAAGAGTGACAGAGGAGGGAGTGACAGAGGAGGGAGTGACAAGCTGGGTGGACAGTTTGAGGAGGCAGAGGGCTGAGGAGGAGCCTTTGGATTTTGGGACCTAATTTGATCCCTTGCAATTGGGAAAGCAGTCTGGCCCCTTCTCCTCCTCACAGAGCAGCCAGTGTGTGAAGCCAGCTGTGTATTTTATTCTGAGAGAGGAGTTCCATGGGAGCCCTCGGCTGTCCTCATCCCAGGGCTCTGTGCAGAAGCCTGCCACAGAGCTCTCAGGCCTTCATTTTCATGTGGGCAGCACAGGGGAGGGCTCAGAACTCGCAGATCACAAGGCGCGGCTGTTCACAGGATATGTCATTCCACTTGCCATTGCTGTAGACCTCCACACAGTCCTCATTGACACCCTTGTTGTTGGGCTCCCCGGGGTTCCAGTTGGAATAGCCCAGGGGCTCCCCTCCTGGATAGATGAACCTGCCCTCCGTCTTGGAGTCAGTCATGCTCAGGAACGCAGCACCCTTGTTCTCAAACTTGACCAGCTCTTGCAATGCTTTGTTCTCAGCTGTAGAGTGTGGGGAGGGCAGCTGCCCCCCGGCCTGTGCGCACACTTGCTGTGCCTCCTGGAAAGGTTTCTCAAAGCCTGCTGACTTGAAGACCTTCTGGCCAACACGTCGGCCGTTGGGGAAGAGCTCCACTAGGAGGAGAGGACAGTGAGGTTAGGGTTCTGGGGGCACCTGCCAAAGCTCCATGGCTCTGAGACCTTTGAACTCCAACCAGAGCCCAGGACCTCAGAGCACCAGGGGAGACAAAGGTGAGACCCCTGGCTCCGTGGTGCACTCTGGGAGGTGGATCTGCCTGTCTACTTACAGGTGAGAACCCTGGGCTCAGAGAGAGGAGCTCAACTTCATTAACTATCCCTTGTAGCGTTGGGGGGTCACCCTTATCTGATCTCACAGTAAAGCTGAGACATGCTCTTTCTATCTCACCCCATGTTGCATGGCAGAATCGGTTTCCCAGTTCCTGGGCAGGACTGGAAAGCTTTGGCATAGTGTGGCCTCTAAGAGCTATAAATAAGGAAGGCGCTCCCTTTCCTCTCACTGGGACCCTGTGTAACAGCAGGATATGGGGCATTCACAGCCATGTGTGGATGTGGGAAAGAAGAGGGGAGGGTGGGTCCTCTGAGGGCAGCCGTGTGCTAATCTCTGAACTGAGTGCAGCCCGGTGCTGTCACCTAGCTGTGCATGTGGGTGAGGCTGGAGGGCTGGGAGAGAGGCCGAAGACAGCAGAGAGGTGTGCCTGGGCATCAGGGACAGGAGAGAGTCGGTGCTGGAGAGAGCCCTGTCTGGGACCCAGAGGGCCAGGTGCTCAGCTCGGTTTGTGCATTGATCTGGCTTGGGTCTCAGGTGGCTGTGATGGTGAGGGTTGCCAGCCCAATGAGCTGGTTTAGGGGCCACAGCCTGCTACATGTCCCTTGTATCTGCTTCCAGCTCCTGGAACATGTGGCTGCCCTGCTCTGTCCCACCCTACGCTTATCCTCAGTTCCTTTCCCAGTCCCAGGTCCAGTCCATCGTCCAAATCCACTACTATCCTAAAGACCTCAATCCTAGGACCAGCCTTCCTTAGGCCTCACCTGGGGCCTGCCCTTGGCGACTGGTTCAGTCCAGGCACTCACCTTTCTTAGACTGAAGGAAGGCTCCCTGAAGGCGTCCCACCTGCCCCTGCAAGGCCTCCACCTGCTGCCTCAGAGCAGCGATGTCTGTAGGAGAGAGGGGCCCAGTGAAGACCACTCCCTCACAGCCAGGCCTCAGCTCAGAGTCCGGGTTCCAAGGAAAGGGTGCTCAGTGACAGGCTTTCTTGAAGGAGGGGAAGGAGCTGTGCCCCAGCTGGTCCTCCTGCCCTTGAGTTCCCTGAAGCTCTGTTGTGAGCACACTGTGCCCTGGGCAGGTCCTCGCACCACACTAATGCTAATCCAGATGACATTTCACAGCAAAATCTAAGAATCTGGGAGATTACTATAGGGGATTGGGGGGGATGGGGAATTGCCTTTCCCTCAAGTACTTCCCAACTCTGGGCTATTTGATGCTCAAAGCTCTTTGATGAACTGGGAAGAGAGATGAGCTGTCCCAGTGACCACACGGGAAGCTTCTTAGGCTTGAACCACATCGGGCTCTCTAGGTAGAATCTCATCTTCCTGCCTTCAGCCCAACAACCTTTCCTGCATTCACAATCTCACCTCGCCCCCTCAATGGGCTGACCACTGAGCAGTGGGCCCTCCTCCCTCTGCATCCTGATTGGGCCCCAGAGCTAGGGGACGTGACCTTACCTGGAAGTCCACTCTCTCCCTTTGGTCCTCTCTCCCCGGGAGCACCTCTGTCCCCCTTCAGTCCCGGGAGGCCCCTGGTACCTGGAGGTCCCTGTGGGCCCGGGGGTCCTGCAGGCCCTGAGATCAGACAAGGAAAGGAGAGTAAGCTCAGCACACATTTCCCCCCATTTTTCTCTCCCAGCATATGGACTGTGCTACTGTCTAGCAATACACCCTCCCATGTACAGTCAGTCCCAAAGATAGCCATGCACCCTCCCTATGCACTACTGTCCCAGCACCCAGCACCCAGCACCCGGCCTTCCCAGGATGCAGACTGTCCCTGCTGCTCACACCCCACTCTCCCCAGTTACAGAGGTCAAGCCCAGAGAGGCACCTCCTTGCACAGACTCCCCATACCCAATGTTGCAGCTCTGAGCTGGCGGGTGATGGGGGAGGAACAGGCATCTACAGCTTCAGGTAGACACAGGAGAACCGAAGGCCTGCCCCAGCTTTGCCCATCACTCACCTGGTGGCCCTGCATTCCCAGGGGCTCCACGCTCACCAGGGGCACCTTGCACTCCTTTGAGACCTGGAGGGCCTCTTGGCCCTACATAGCCCTGCATGCCTGGGGCACCAACTTCTCCTGAGGAAGGAACAGATTGGGATAAAGTCTGCTGAGTGTGTGTGCAGCATGGGTCATTTCCTCAGGTCCAGGTGGAGAGGGAGAACTGGGGGGCTGTACAGGGGCCATTGCAAGGCCTGCCAGAGGTGAAGGCCTGGCTTCCCTGGCATGCTGAGCATCCTTAGGTCACATCAGGAATTGCCATTATCATTCCTCCCTCTCCCTTCCGGACCACCACACATAAACCTCCTACCTTTGGGCCCAGGCTCTCCTTTGGGGCCTGGTGTGCCTTGGGGGCCTACATTCCCCTTCATTCCCGAGGGACCCTCTCTTCCAGCTGGCCCAGGTGCACCTGCAGGTCCCGGAGGTCCTGGGGAAAGGAACAGCCAATCAGTCCACTCAGTCTTCTCAGAAGGGGGAGAGTGTGAAAAGGCGAGAGCAGTCATAGAGGTCAGACAACAGCAACATCCTACAGATGCCGCTGATTATGGCCTTCCCCGCTTGAACCCAGCACCACCCACAGGGCACCCTCGTTCCTGGATGGGTATGTGCATCCTCCACCATGGCCTAGAGGCAGGCATTGCAGTCCATGACCACTGCTCTCACCACGTGGCCCCGAGTCTCCCTTCGGTCCAGGTTCTCCATCAGGTCCGTTGTCCCCTTTGGGCCCAACTGGGCCAACAGGTCCAGGCATCCCCATTGGCCCTATATCTCCTGGTGGACCTGTAGCAGCAGAAGAAATGGGCATAAACCTGGCCCGGGGCCTAGGAGGAGCCAGCACTGCAGGTCCTATTCCTTCAGGTTCTGCAGGTGTAGACATTCCACCTCCACACTCCTCAGTAAGTGGTGGCCCAGGAGACCAGTATGCACAACCCCATTTCACAGGCGAGGAAACAGGCCTGCCAGAGCTGGAGGGGGTCCAGCCAAGGACGTCTGACTTCCATGCAGTGCACCCTGCCTGCCCCCAGGCTGCAGGATTTCAGCAGGGGATCTGCCAGCTTTCACCTTGGATCATGGACTCCTGGATTTCCCCTTCCTAGGACCAGACTTTATAACAGAAATGGTCCCTGACAGGAGTCATCAGGGAAATGCAAATCACATCCATGAGATATTATGTCACATCTCCTAGAATGGCGACTATAAAAATCACAAAAGAGCACAAGTGTTGCTGAGGATGTGGAGTAGAAGAACCCCTATGCACTGCTGGTGGGGTTGTAAATTGGTGTGGCCACTACGGAGACCAATCTGCAGTTTCCTTAAGACATTGAAAAGATAATATTTTTAAAAAGTATGACCCAGCAATACCACTTCTGGGTTTTATCCAAAGGAAATGAAACACTAATTTAAAAGATATCTGTACCCTCATGTTCATTGTAACATTTTTTAAAGTAGCTAAGAGATGGAAACAACCTAATAGAGTCCATAATGAATGAATGGATAAAAATGTCACACACACACACACACACACTGGCATACTATTCAGCCATAAAAAGAATCCTACCATTTGCCACACATGAACTGATCTTGAAGGAATTATGCTAAGTGCCATAAGTCATACAACTTAAGACAGATGCAGTGTGATCTCACTTATATCTGGATTTGAAGAAACAAAACAAAGAATTCATAAATGCAGAGATCTGATTATTGGTGGTTGCATAAGATGGGATCTGGGTGGTGGGAAAAAACGGGTGAAAGTCAAAAGCTACAAACATCCAGTTATGAAATATGAGTTCCCTTCCCTTCTCTATGTAGTGTATTTAGGTAAATCCTGTAGGAAGCGGTTATAGGGTTAAGCCTCGGACTGACCTGCTGGTAAGTCGAAAACAAGTCCCAACTTAGAGGGCACAGTCCTCTAAGCATAAAGCTTGATCTTATGACTGCTCCAGAGATCTTTCCTGTGGGAGTGGCAGCAAGTGCTGCCAAAACAAGTGAAACCTACAAGAACATTGTAAATTACCTTGTTTACCCCTGACCTTAAATAAAGATTTCAGCTTTGCAGTCTGGATCTGTTCTGTGGCCCCAGCCAGGCACCGAAGATCCACCTAGACCCAGCTTCTCTTTGTCTATCATTTCTCCATCCTTCGTCGCCCCCACTCAGGCTCGCTGAACCCTTGGCTGCGCTGGTGCAGCACAAAATCCTTTTGATCAGGCCGGAGTGTGGGGCCACAGGGCCTCATCTTTGCCTACCTCTCATGCAGTAAAATTTAGTTACATATTAACACACTGCCCAAAAACCATTCCACCACAATGAGCAATTGTAAGTGCCGCAGCTTGGTTTTAGAGGACCCTGAATACCAGTTATTTACCCACCATTTGCTCATTCTAGGGGTGAGAGGGATCAGAAAATCCTAGGGGAGGAATCCCGACCGCTAGGGCAGGGGCAAAAACACCTCGGGGCTCAGGGCAGCCTGTTATTTGCCAACTGGTAATGAGGCGTTTCAGGTGGCCTGAATGTCCAGGGGACCTCTTCCCCAGGAAGTGGGCTTCCATTTCCAGGGCTTCCACGGCAGAATGCCCAGAGTTGCGGAGTTGGTTACAATTCCATGCCCACCAGGACAAGCCCATGGTTCCAGCTCTACCTGGATTCCCCTTCTCGCCCCGGGGGCCCTCTCTTCCATCGCGTCCATCACGACCAGGCAGACCATTCTCCACAGGGCCACATATGACCAGGGTGCAGGCATCACTCAATGGTTTCTGGGAAACTGTTGTCATCTCTTCTCCCCATGACCTTGGAGGCTGTGTGAGCAGGACTAGCGCTGAGAGGAGGAGAAGCATGGCCTTCAGGGAGAGACAGAGAGAGAAGGACATGCTCTTGGTTCCAGGACACGGCTTAGTGCTTATCCCACCACCCAGAAGTCAGAGAGGCACTTTCCTACCGCCTCATCCCTTCTGTGGGATCAGGAACAACAGGACTCCCAAAGCACCTTGGAACAAGGCAGCCATACAGTCTGGCCTGGGAGGGCATGAGTTACCCAGATGAACTCTGACATGGGTTATCAGCAACATCTACCTCTTCTCAGAGCCCCATTTTGTCCTTTCTAGTGACTTCACTTTCACTGCCATCAGCACAGGGAACTCCTCACTGAGGCCACGTGTCACATCAGGAGGGACTCATGAAGTGCCTTTGGGCAGGACAGTCCTCCTCTTTGAACCTCCTTCTCCCTGTCTGAATCAGTAAGGTTGCTGGGCAGACTCATTTCCTGTCACTTGTACCTGTGCATGGACTAGCACTGGCGGTTTCAGTGCTTGTCTGGAAAGGAGCCAGAATGCTCAGTGCCATGTGTCCTAACACAAGATGGGCACATGGCTACATATTTGCTAGGTGGTCTGCTACTTACATTGCTCCATGTATAAAGATCCATATGGAACCCACAAAAAGTTCTCAGAATAGCTGGAGAGACCCTGGGACACCTAGAAGGCCGGCCCTCCACCTGGGACCACTTGGGAGTGGTGCCTCATGGAGGAGGGCGTGTAAGGTGCGCTCTGTCAGGGAGAGGGTGGTTTCAGTGTAGGAAAAACAGATGTTCAATAGTGTCCAGTGACATGTGAGAGGGACTCCGCAGCTAAGTGAGGTCACGGTGGGTGCAGGACCTGGCCACTCCCAATGGTGGGCTTCTTTGCAGAGACTGGGAATTGCAAAGGCTGAAAACAAGCCTGAGGGATGGAGCAAAGGAGAAGGAATCGCCAGGCAGCCTGAGGGGGAGGCCGTGGAGGACCTTCCTGGCCATAAAAGTGCTTTCTTCTCCACCTGATGGTGGTTCTGGGCTGCGAAGAAACCTGTTTGCATCAGTTCTTTCTCATTCCGAGTTTAGCACATCCTCGGGCATCATGGGAGTCTCTAAACACCAGGCAAGCTCACAGGCCAGCAGCGTGGCCCTTGCTGGGGAAGAGGCTCTGGCAGGAGCAACAAAGCATCCAGCCTGAGCCACGGCATTACCACAATTCAAGGGCCCTGAGCCCACATCTGGGGAAGAATGAAAAGAAACAGGCATTCTGCCCAACAGCTCAAGATGGCACAGAAGGCACCAGAGCTCATTGTGGCAGGAAGGGGTCTGGGCAGGGGCCACCTCACAGGTTTGGAGACATAGGACTTGGATGAGGCCTCTGCTCTGGGCCTATAGAGGTATTGGGCAGAGCCACATCCCCTTAAACCACCACATAGTGTTCACTTTATGACTCGATGTCAGAATAAAGTATATTGAAAAAATGACACCTCTAAAAATTAATTGGAAATCAGTAAACTTGTCCTGTGGGTGTATTTTTAAGACCAAGATTTGAAGCTAAGAGGAAAGATGTTTATCCATGTCCAATTGGCAGTTGGAACCTGGATGGACTTTGACCCTGGGCCTGGGAAGGCCTGGGCTGTTTCTCCTTTGTCACCTACCTTTCTGAAGAAATCAGGGGTGCAGAGAGACAAGCGAGAAATTGCATTGTCACCTGAGGCTTCCTGACAATGGCATCTATGGACCAGGTGGGTGTCATATCTCACTCACCCAGCCTCCCTCGGCCCAGCAGGCAAATCTCCCACTGAGCAAAGGAAGCAGAGTGAGGGGAGAAGAACAGTCTTTCTTCCTCCACTATGCTGCCCTCTCAGGCCCACACCCACACCTCCCAGACCAGAAGAGCTACATAGACCCTCTGATCTTCTTCAACACCAGTACATTAGACCACCCCAAATGGACAGAGGGACATTCACTGGACAAAGAGAAAACGAAGAGAGAGGCAGGCCCAGAGACACTCACCATTGCTTCCTTGTGGACTCAGGGCCTATAGGCAATGAGCGCTTCCTTGGCCCGCAAGCAGGGGCTATTTATGCTGCCCTGCGACCTGAGCCACCACATGTTGGTCTTTTAAGAACTCTTTTGGATAACTTTCTTCCTTGTTGACTCACTTCCACCTGGGTTCTGAAAACTTGCCATGACACACATGTCACCTTAGAGTTTACAGAGCTCCCTCAGGACATGACATCATCTGTCCCTTACTGGGCTCTGGGTGTTCAGCGGCATCATCAGTGTCTGGGTTTTACAGGTTTCCACGAATCTGAGGTCCTGAGAGGACCAAAGCCAAGGAAGCAGAATGAGTGGCAGATGAAGAAGCAAGTTGCCCAATAACCTACAACTATTGCAAAAGCACACACATTTGCATATTTCAAGAACAGTGCTTACTATGCCACATTCTCTTTGTCCTTCACCTCAACATTACTATCCAGATAGTGGGAAAGGGCTGGGATCTTCTTGGCATTTCTGGGCAGGGGTGGAGTAGCTGGAGGGGTTGCCAAGGTTGCAGCATTCTGTGAGGCTAGTGGCTGGGGGAGCTGCTACCTGGCAGGAGTCACTTTTTGCTTCCTAGGATGGATGTCCTTGCATGCTTGCAATCATCTCTCCACTCCTTAGCTGCTGTTGCCTCTGTGGGTTGCTCTAGTGAGCAGTTTGGACCCCTGAGCTGCTGACACACTATTGCAGACCTCCCCCAGGAAATTCTGACTTCCAGTGGCCATGGGGCAGCTGCCTGCCCTGCTGCTGTTGCTGTCCTCTCTGCTCCCTGCTAGGTCCCTGTGGCTTCATCTCTTGCATCAGTGGACCTTTGCCTAAGGCCACATACCAGCTGCCCAATGCCTGCAATACTCTCCTTTGGCCTGTCCATTAGGGGTGCTGACTGCTCCTGGGTTTTGTTGCTGCTGTGGCTTCTCGTGGTGTATTGTAGAGTCTATAATGCCAGTTTTCCTCGGCTCATAGGAAAGGCTCTTGTTTCCCATACTGCAATTTTTTGAAGCAGGATCCCATAGTAGAGCCATTTGTGCCCCAAATCATAAAACTCTTTCATTATTAACATCCCCAAGCTAGGATGTTCATGTGCCTCTCAGAGATGTAGATCAGCATGGAGGCTGAACTGACCTGAACCATTGCTCTCCACTCCCCACAGAGCCTTCCTGACAAGTCTTATCCTGGTGGCCAAACTCCTATTTATGGTGACTTTTAATTCAGAAGCCCTATATGTTTTCTTTGTTTGCAACTTAACTGCTACATCCTAGCCTAGTGGCCCGCAAAGTGCAGCTCATGAGCCACATGTGGCTCACAAGCCGTGGTTTGCTGCTCTGTTGACTAATGAGTTTGCCGACCAATGTATTGTACTAGCCTATTAAGCATTCCCTCTCAGTGCCTTGTGATCCCCCTAAAATGAAGCATTCATCTTATATGAAAGTTGCTGCTTAAAATTTTAACCCTGCTATTTAGCTTCTGTAAATGCTTGCTTGCTTAAATAGTAAGAAAAATAAGACTACTCTCGTTTCAGAGAGGCCATTAAACCTTCCCCAGACAAAGTTATCAATGCTGGCACCAGGCCAAGTCTTTGGTTGAGGTCTCAAAACCCCAGCATATAGGAGCTCTTTAAGAACTTGCAAAGTTCTTAAACACCCCCTATTTGGGAGACAAAGAAGATAAAAACATATATACATAAATAGGGAAAGTTCCTTTATGTTGGGGCCCAGAATTTGAGAGACATTTTCCTCTGGGTCCATGGGTAATAATAATAAATGTAACTCCATCTCTCCAAGCATTACTTGGTTCTTCTCCGGTTTTCTGTAACTTTAATGGTTTTCTAAACTGGGAAATAACCATGCTTGGCCTTTTGGCCTCTGGTGAGTGGGCCGGGTTTGAGTTCGTGGGAGCCGGATAGGCCTCCTAGAAGTGCCGCTCTGCTGACTTAGCAGAATTGAATGGGGGGAGGGGGGGCTTCGGGTGTTCCCATACCTCAGCCCAGGACCCAGCCGGCACGTGGAAAGAGTGGACGGACACTTCTGGACCTGTAACAGAATTGGTAAGGTAGGGGCCCTTATAAGTCAGGCCCACTCAGTGAGTGGAAGGGGGAGCTTGATCACCTCCCCAAAAGTCGAGGACTTCCTCAGGCAAATTAATCAGGAATCAGGTGGACTGTTTAAACTCTGGGTAAATATCTGGTAGAAGTGAAAAAACTCGGACTATCTGGTATATATTGTAAATGTGGGACTCCAGAGGTGAGTGAATTCATATTTAATTAAGGAATTATGAGTTCACTCTGCTGTTTGTTTGTTGGGACTAGCCAGTTTGCTACCAAGAAGGGAGACTGGACACAGTCTTAACTCCTCCAGTAGGTTCTCACCAAGACCTCGGTCGAGACTTCTGTTCTGGGGCATGGGTGCCCGGAGTACCCCAATCCCATCTGGGGAGTTGGGCATTGTTTTGTTTCTTTGTTCAGCTCCAGTCTAGGCTAGTCTACTGAGAGAGTGTGAGTATGGATGTTTGTCTGTCTTGGCATAATTATCTACTCATTAACTGGTCTGTTACTTTGTGCCTTCAGGCTGTACACATGAGTATATTTGTTATCTCTTTCTTTTGTTTAATTTGTTTAAAAATAGGGCAGGTGTGCTGTGACGAAATGCAAAAGTCTCTAGCAGCTGCTAGATTTATTTTTCTCAGAGTATTTTGCTCTCCTTCAGAGAGGGAATCAGCCCACTTAGCTAATAAAAATTTCTGTCTATCAGTTGCTCTTCCCTGAGTTGTGAATTTGCTGTATTAAATTGAAATTTTGAAGTTCTGGGGTAGATTTAAAGGTATAAATTTGTGAAATTTCAAAGAACAAAGAACTTTTATTTGTGGCTTTTCTTATCTCTTTTGGTGATCAGAGACTTCTAGGGGCAGGACTTACAGCTCCACAAGGAGGAGGTTTATGGGCCCTGTCTCTGCCTGTGAAATATACCGTGTTTCCCCGAAAATAAGACCTACTTACAGGTTTCCTTCTGAGTGAAATATAAGGCATCCCCCCGAAAATAAGGCCCCCCTAGGCTAAACATGAGAGATTTGGTCCACTGATTCTGAAAGAAATGGAGTCACAAGAAATTCACTAGGAAATTCAGGAATTGGATTGTTATGATGATGTTCCAGAAGATGATGACATGATTGTCATTGAATAAATGAGTAAATTCTTGATACTATAGGATTCACAGTTTGTCTGGTTTGTGTTGACAACTACCGTACTACTGTACCGTATACAGGTAATAAATTTCCTTTATTTTCATTTAACAATAAATGTGTATCGTACTCTTCTTCATGGAAAAATAAGACATCCCCTGAAAATAAGACCTAGCGCATCTTTGGGAGCAAAAATTAATATAAGACACTGTCTTATTTTCGGGGAAATAGGGTAGTCTAATGTGAGCCATGGGAGGTGGAACTAAGGATGAAGTTATTATTAACTATCTATGGACCCCATTAACCCTGGTTGTGTGTCTTGTATGGTCTATTGTATTCATGGTTGTGTGTTTTATTTGACTTGCGATTTTTAGTTATTTATTAGGATCCTTATAGAGGACATAACCTGGTATTTCCCTTCCTCCTACATCCTAATTCTGATAGCATTAGGATATAACTGGACTAAAGATCTTTTATTTCAGGAGTCCCTCCAGGCTTTCAATCTGAAAGAAATTTTCCTACACACCCTTATCTTCATCTACTATCTTTCCAGGCCAACTAAGAGTCATTTTTCATCAGGTTGGACTAAAGCCTCTGGGAGGGAGGATTACTACAATGGTAGTCTGTAGTTTTCTCCAAAATTCCCACTGTTACTATTTCTTCCCTTTGTAGGAATTGTCTTCCACTGACTCACAATAGGAAAGGGAGACAAGCAACTGGACTGGGGACAGGGGAATAGTTGGAGAAATCAATCAAGAGTAGTAAAAGAGGAGGATTTAAGATCCTCAAAGGCAAGTGGTTCTCAACCTTCCTAATACCATGACCCTTTAATACAGTTCCTCGTGTTGTGGTGACCCCACCATAAAATTATTTACATTGCTACTTTATAACTGTAATTTTGCTACTGTTATGAATCGTAATGTAAATATCTGTATTTTCTGATGGTCTTAGACAATCCCTCTGAAAGGGTCATTCGACCCTCAAAGGGGCCTTGACCCACCAGTTGAGAACTGCTGTTCAAGGGGCTTAAAGAGGAAAAATCTATGAGGGAAAACAATTGTTACAGGGGGGAAAAATATCCTTAAATGTAAAAAACCTAAATATATGGTATCTCAGGCCATTTGCCTTATTTCAGGACAGAGTAAATGGTTAATAAAGAACGAGGGTTGGGAGGCTATCAACAGTTAATTATGAAGCAGGGAGAGTTAAGTTGTTGTTTTTTTCAATAAATCTTTATTGTTCAGATTACAGATGTTCCTCTCCCCCACCCCACCCCCACTCCCAATAGCTCCCCTCCACATGATCCCCCAGCCACTGTCCTCATCTATAGGTATAAGATTTTTGTCCAGCCGAAACCAGTTTGGCTTAGTGGATAGAACATCCGAAGGGTCCCAGGTTCGATTCCGGTCAAGGGCATGTACCTTGTTTGCGGGCACATTCCCAGTGGAGGGTGTGCAGGAGGCAGCTGATTGATGATTCTCTCTCATCGATGTTTCTAACTCTCTGTCCCTCTCTCTTCCTCTCTGTAAAAAATCAATAAAATATATATTTTGTCCAATCTCTTCCCGCACCCTTCATACCCCCTTCCTTCAGAGAATTATCAATCCACTCCCTTTCTATGCTCCTGATTCTGTTATATTCACCAGTTTATTCTATTCCTCAGATTTTTAATTCACTTGATTTTTAGTTTCACTTGTTGACAGATATGTATTTGTTGTTCATAATTTTTATCTTTATCTTTTTCTTCTTCTTCCTCTTCTTAAATAATACCCTTCAGCATTTCATATAATCCTGGTTTGGTGGTGATGAACTCCTTTAGCTTTTTCTTGTCTGTGAAGCTCTTTATCTGACCTTCAATTCTGAATGATAGCTTTGCTGGGTAGAGTAATCTTGGTTTTAGGTTCTTGCTATTCATCACTTTGAATATTTCTTGCCACTCCCTTCTGGCCTGCATAGTTTCTGTTGATAAATCAGCTTACAGTCCTATGGGTACTCCCTTGTAGGTAACTAACTGTTTTTCTCTTGCTGCTTTTAAGATTCTCTCTTTGTCTTTTGCCCTTGGTATTTTAATTATGATGTGTCTTGGTGTGGTCCTCTTTGGATTCCTTTTGTTTGGGGTTCTCTGTGCTTCCTGGACTTGTAAGTCTGTTTCTTTCTCCAGATAGGGAAAGTTTTCTGTCATTATTTCTTCTAATAGGTTTTCAATACCTTGCTCTCTCTCTTCTTCTGGCACCCCTATAATTTGGTTGTTGGTATGCTTGAGGTTGTCCCAGAGGCTCCTTACACTATCTTCATATTTTTTTTATTCTTATTTCTTTTTGTTTTTCTGATTGGTTGTGTTTGTTTTTGTGTGTGTGTGTGTTTTTTGTTTTTGTTTTTGTTTTGTTTTTTTGCTTCCTCATATTTTAAATCTTTGGTTTGATACTTGAAGTCCTCTGGTCTACTGTTGGATTTCTGTATATTATTCTTTATTTTGGACAGTGTATACTTGATTTCTGACTGGTCTTTTCCCATTTTTATTTTTTTTTTTCATTCTCATTAAGATACTTCAAGGTCTCACTAAGTTCCTCGGAGGTCTCACTAAGTTTCTCAGCGGTTTCTAGAAGATTCTTAAGTAACCTTATAACAGGTTTTGAACTCTATAGAAGTTTGCTTTCCTCCATTTCTTTCATTTGTGACATGTTTCTTTGTCTCCACATTTTGGCTGTTTCCCTGTGTTGATGGAGTGACTTTGTATGGTAGGTGACCTATGGGGCCCAGTGGCTTAGCATCCCCAATCACCTGAGGTGGACACTCTTGGTGCTCCCCTTTGTGGGCTGGGTGCACAGTCTTGTTGTAGTTAAGCCTTGACTACTGTTGGTACACTGGGAGGAATTGACCCTCAGGCCAATTGGCTGTGAGGATCAGCTGTGTCTATGATGGAAGAACTGCTGTGCTGAAGATACCCTTATAGGGCAGGACTTGCTTCAGTGGGGCTTTGGTGCTCACTGAGTCTGCCTCTTGAGTGTGTCACATATGGATGTGAAGAGTTGAAATCTTGTGTCATCTCACACTGACCATTAAGTACACTAGCTCCTGGATTTTCAAGGAGGTGCAAATCTGAGACCACCCAGCAGGAGCTACAGCAAGATCTGCAGATTTCTTCTCTTTGCTTGGGATTTGGAAGTTTTGGAGCTTACCTAGGTGTAGTTTGTTAGATTAAGCTGCAATAGGGCAGGCCATTCATATGCAAAAGCAGCTGAGCACAGTTTGGGTGGGTTTGTAAATTGTGTGGGGCGGAGCCTCAGGGAATCACTAAGGTGTGGCAAAGAGCGATGGCTGACAGTCAGCTGTCTCTGCATCTCTGCATTTCCATGTCCCTGAGTCCTGTGCCCCAGTAAACATTGAGTCCTGTGTGCACCTGTGTGAGAAAGCCACCCTCACTTTCCAGCCCGATGCCAGACAGTCCAGTTTCTCCCCATAGGCATCTGGGTCCCCTGAGTCTCGCTGGAAACTGGAGTTCAGAGCAGTTGGGAGCTTATGTCTCCCTCCCATGTCTTCAGTTGTCAGCCCTCTCCATGCATACCTCCGCATCTCTGATTTTCCACAACTCTGCAGCTCCTACACAGTCTCAATGCACTTTTTTCTTTCCTTCTAGTTGTACAACCTCCACTCAGCCAGCTTTCCTGTGGTTCTGGGTGATAATCGTTTTGTCTTTTAGTTGTAGTTTTTGTGTGATTATGCGAGGCAGCACATACAGGTGTATACCTTAGGCCACTATCTTGGTTTTTCGAGAGATAAGTGTTTGTTGATTATTACTGGCTGCAGACTACTCTGCTGGCATAGGGTCCTGGTCCATAGCTTATCACCAAGTGTCTTCTCAGAACTACACTAGATTCAAGGTTGCAAGTTTTCTGCAAGCACAATTAATCTTTCTTTGCTCTGGTTTATTCTTTTTAACTCTTCCAATACTAAATTAGACCAATAAAATATACTGTACTTGAAATTACATAAGAAAAATATAGGAACTCAGAACAACTCAAAGCAGCTGTGCCCTTGCTGCTCTGACACTTGGCTTTGCTGGCAGGATCTAGAAGATGTGCATGTTCTAGCAGGAGCTAGTGCTCCCAATACTAGGTTCCAGGGCAGGACTTTAGGGGTAAGTGCCCTGTCAGGAGATTGTGACACCCCACCCCTTAAGGACTTGGAAACAGATCCCCAAAGAGCAGAGGAAGCAAGAGGCTTGAGAAAGACCTTTGCCAGAGAAGCAAGAGCAGGCAAAAGAAGGTAGAGAGGTCAAATATTTAAGTTGCCGCCAGGCAATCCAGAGATCCCTCAACCCCAGCAGAAACCCTTGCCTAGAATGAGAGCAGGCAGGTAAATGGGGGGATGGTGGGGGTGGTGGTAAGAAGAGTGAGCCGAAGGGAAGGTCAGACACCCAGAGCCCAACTATGACAAGAGGGGGGCAGCAGACATTTACCTGATACTAGAGCCGCCCCGCTGCTGTCCAGTGAGTAATGAGCGTTTTACAACAGGCAATACAAGACTTAGGCCTTTGGCTTGCTGGCTACAGCAGTTAAACCAGAAGCCAGTGACTGCTACTATCCTTCCTGCAGCCCCAGGAATATAGCAGCAAGCCCAGGATCTGTGAAAGCAGCAGATAGAGCTAGTGAAAGCTCACTGTTTGCAAATGTACTGAAAAGGTTCAGTACACGTTGCTGCTGGAAGAGGAGGGGCTGAGATCCCTTCCAGTGCACTCCCTTGGGAGAGGCCTGGTCTGCCACAAAGGGGACCTGTGTGAAGACAAAGGGGCCTAATACCCAAGCCACTGCCACAGAAGTGCTTTGCAAATATGCAAAGCTGTTTCTAACTGCAACTCTGGCTGTTTTGGACTGGCAGCTTAAAGTTAAAGGGCAAAGGAAAGGTACTTTCCCTGGACTGGGGAGCCTTCAGGACTTTGAGATTCTCCAAGAGAGGAGGAGTCTGACTAAGGGAATGGCTGAGACCCTGTTAGGTTAGGAGGACCGGAGGCTGCATATTGAACTTATAGACTGTAGTTTTCTAGGCAGAGGACCAGGCCCAGTTGTGTAGGGGATAAGCTGCCTGTGTATGGCACAACAACTTTCTCCTGTGCCAGAATACATTTTAGGGAAATCGGACAGACTGTGTTTGGGGATAGAAATAAGAACTGGCCGCCACGCACAGCCCTGACAGTGACCTGCATAAAACTGTATTATAGACTTCGATGATACCTGAGTCTTCATGGACATGGCTCCAGAGAGGCAATGACAATTTTGCTTTGTGTAGGAAAGTCAATAATATATTTTAGTCACCTCCCTAAGATATTTGTATAGCCCTACCACGTGTCATATATGGGAGCAGAAGATTTGGCTACCTAAGGTGGCTACGGTGCCTGTCCCGACCCGCGGGACAACAACAGGGGCACGCAGGAACCACCTAAGAGAATGAAACAAACAAGGAACGCGAAAGAATGAAGGCAAGACAAGGTTCTGATCAAGCCTCGAACTTTTATTCTCTGAAATGGCTGTATTTATACAGCAGAAACAAAGGGGGGCAGGTTTGCCTATGCAGGGGGGTCTTTGGCAGTGTCCATGGGGGAGGATCAGGAAGGGGAAGTTGCAAAGATGTTAACATTCCAAGGTGCAACATTCCAAGGCTGGGCTATCTAGGGGGGAGGATCAGGAAGGGGAAGAGGCAGGAAGACAGGAAGATGCTAAGCCCCGGGTTAATCTTATCTTCTGGCCAAGCCCTCAGGGCACCGCATAACTTCTGCTAGAAGGAACTTAATTCTATTTTCTTAAGACTGAGTTGCTCGTCTCAACTCTGCTGGCTCCCAACAGGTGCCAATATTGTACTTCATTGTGTTAATAATATTGCATTAACATTCCAGATCTGAATGCATTTGCCAAAAGGGCAAGTGCCCAAATGGGCAAGGAAAATATCCATCTGGTCTTGGTCTCTATTGGAAGATAGTTAGCAGCCTGTATACTGCCTTGCAGGCCTCTGTGGCCATGCCCATGTCAGGGGTGGCACAAACCTCAACTTTAGGAAACTGGGGGAGGCCTGTTTGAAACAGAGGGAAGTAGTGAAGTGGTGAGTACTAGCCCTCTGTTACAGGAATTATAGACCCTGTGAGGTCCAGTGACATGTGTGAGACCCTGTGAATGGATAAAGCTCTGTTAGTTAGTGCCAGCCCTCCCAGAGACTATATGTAGTTTAAGGACAAGTCAAGTAGGGGGAACCCTACAACAGGAACAGCTGTAACTATAAACTTAAATATAGACACATTTTTAATTTCTTCTTGCCATTTGGAGACAGTTATATTACTCTAAAGCATCCATGCAAAGGACTAACAAGGAAAATCAGATCTTAAAGCATATCAGTATATTTTTCTCCTTATATAATTCCTCCGAAATTTGGCAATGCTTAATAAATCATGACAATACATTTCTTTGCATAAATTCAATAAGACTGGTTTTCAATAGTGGTTTTATTGACCAAAAACTTTGACTGGAGTATCATGTTTTAAAGAGCCCTGTCTGAACTCTAGAGACTGGAAGCCAATAAGAGTGCCATGGAGAAAGCCTGGTATCCTGCTTGATAGCCCTGAAAATGGATGGTGCTGGAGCATCAGGCCCATACCCTGCCATTGCTGGCGGTTGGTCAGAGGAGAAGGAGAGCAATAAGGGCTCCTCTGCATCCCTGCAGAACCCCATGCACTCTAGGCTTCAACGAGTAGGATAGTTGCCTTGAAGCCTAGGGTGTGGGCCCAGGTAGAGTCACTGCAGGTGAGGGATTCACCTAACTCAGCAGATACTGCAGGCAGGCCCTACGGGGCACAATAAGATTCAATCATGAAATTCCAGCAAAGGTAGTCAGTTACCATTCTTATTTTGTTTATTCAAATGATTAGGCCAAATTGAATACAATAGATAAATTGGTCTTGATTAGGCTCTTTTAATAAACATAGAGGTAATTCTATTTCAATAGAGGTTATTAAAACTGAAATGTTTTCTTTCCCTTCCACCAGACCATTTGTTACTGTTTGTCTTTGCCAGGCCATAAGCCTACCTCCTTCTGTGCCCAGGCCTCATTGTCCCTCTGACAGACAGCAAGGATCGCTTAGCTTTGAGAGAAAACTAAAACATGCAATACCTGACTTTTGAGTCAGTGGCACTGACCTCTTTGTCCTCAGATTGTCAAATAAACAAATGATAACAGCTGGGATTCCAGGATAACTGCAGAGTAGCTGGAAGCTGTGTCACTTGCTTCCAGAATCAACCGGATTTACAGCTAAATTACAGAGCAATCGACTTGAGAAACAAATTAAACTGTAGCTGAGCTGAAATAGTATAACCGAGGAGCACAGGAAAAGCCAGGTAGAGACAGCTAAGAGGTGTGGAGATGCAGAAAGGGAGATCCCCCTCGTGCAGGGACAGCTGGGAAGCCAGAGGGACAGCACAGCTGCCAAACTCCCTCCCCCTAGGAATGTGGGGTCTCAACCCCATGCAGTGATCCCCAACCCAGAGCAAGAGAGACAGGAGTGGAGCCATGTCCAGCAGGTAGTGGGAATCAATGGGGATCCTGTCCACCTGGGAGACTCTGACCGCACCATCCTAGGGAAGGAGTGCTTCCATTGCTGCAGTACCAGCCTGGAGTTCCCTCTGCACTCTGCCATACTTGGGTTTTCAGCCCCTCCTTCTTGGTCTGGTGGTACAAAAGAAGTATGGTAGCAACCATACTTAGGTAAAAACTGCTATTTGAATTTTAACCCTGCTATTCTCGCTTACTTGCTTAAACATAGGGTAGTTGACTCAGCTTCCAGATTGAGGCCTGGAGGCTAAGGCAGTTTTCCTGTGTCTGTGGACCAGGACCACAGGAGATTGATTCCTACTGACTCAGTAGCTTCAAGAGTAGAAACTGTAGATAACCTTTAGAGATTAACCGCTGAGCTCTGCTTCTGTATTATCTGCTATCGCAAGATAGGGCCAAATTCCAATGTCCAGCAGGATGTGACTGGGAACTACCTTGCAGGCTGTTCCCAGCATTTAGAATTTAGAATTCAGAACAAAGGAAAATTTTTGTGGTTTAGACCTTTAAAAGGACTGCCTACACCTGCAACAGTGCAGTTGTGAGTGTGGCTACCTGTGTGTGGTGCTTTTGCAGCCATCATGGCCAGTTAAATAAATCCTTGCCTGCTTTTTTAAATCAATCATAAGCCTCCAGTGGTCTTATTTTGAACCCAGGGTTTGACCTCACAACACAAGTGAAACAGAATTTTTGAGCTGGAATTCGAATTTTTTGTCCACCAGAGTCAAAGAATGAATCCATGGACAGAGAGTAGTATAGCAGAAGTGGAGATTTATTGAAGAACAAGTACAGACTCCCATGTGGAGAGGGGGAAAAGGGTCCCACTGAGTTTCTTTTCCCTATGGCTTATGAAGGCTGCAGATCCTGCCTTGATTGCCCCTCTGATTGGTCACTATTCCTGAAATATAGTGGCAACCATACTTTGGTAAAAACTGCTATTTGAATTTTAACCCTTCTAGTTTGGCCCCTGCATCTGATTAAAACACAGGGTACTTACCTCAGCTTCCAGGTGAAGACCTGGAGGCTAAGGCAATTTTTCCCTTGCCTGGGACCAGGACCACAGGAGAATGATTTCCACTGACTCAGGAGCTTCAGGGATAGAAACTGAAGATAACCTTTAGAGTCTAACCGCTGAGCTCTGCTTCTTTGTTATCGCTATTGCAAGATAGGGCACATTCCAATGTCCAGCAGGATGTGACTGGGAACCAACCCTGCGGGCTGTCCCCACTCTTTAGAATTTAGTCTTTAGGATTTAGAATTTAGAACAAAAGAAAATTCTTGTGGTTTGAACCTTTAAAAGGGACTGCCTACCCCTGAAACGGTGCAGTCATTTGGAGTCCACCTGCGTGTGGTGCTCTTGTGGCTGTCTTGGCCAGTTCAATAAATCCTTGCTTGCTTTTTTAAATTAATTAACCAGCCTTTGGTGGTCTTATTTTGAACCCAGGGTTTGACCCCAGAACAATTCCCTTAGACTGGTTATTATAGTTATACTAGAGTAACTCCTGAGCTCAAAGGTCAAACACCACACTAGTGATGCCTTCCTCCATCATTGTTCTTTTCTTTCTGGCTTTCTTCCTTCTTCTTTATTTTATAAATATAGACTTTTTTTGGCTACTTTCAGCTCCCCTGTCTTATGTAAATGTAACTGTTGCTGCTTCCCGCACCTGGCTTCCTTGTCTTATGGAAATGTAACTGCACCTGGCTTCCTTGTGTCATGAAGATGTACCTGTTGCTGCTTCCTTGTCTTATGGAAATGTAACTGCACCTGGATTCCTTGTGTCCTGGAGATGTACTTTCTCCCAATCTGTAACCCTGTGTTTTTCCAAGGACCCCATTCTAAAAATTCCCTAAGCCTGCCTATGTTCCCCTAAAATTCCTGTTTCACAAGGTTCCAGGGAGCTGCTGATTTTTGGATTGTGTCTCCCAAGGAGGCTTCTGTCTGGAAGCCAACTGAGCGAGGGCTGGTCTCTGAGGCTGCATTGCAGGGAAGCAAATCTGAGCTCCCCTAGTGTCCCAGGAAGAAGAAGTGCCTACCCCACCTCTTACAGTCTCCAGTGAAAAACTGTTAGGATGAGCCCAGCCAAATCCCAAATATCCACAAAGGGTGAAATTCTGTGGAGGAAGAATGGCTCAGAGGGGAGGATATTCCAAGTATGATACCCTAGGAGGCTATTGTCTGGGACCAGGAAGAAATGCTTAGCCCATCCCTATAGGCTGGGCCAGAATCATCCTCAATTGATGATTCTGTACCCCTTAGCCAAGGGTGGCTGAACTTGATCTTGAAGAGGAGACAGCTGGCTACACCTAAACCGAACCTACAGTAGAGCACGCCCTTCTAGGGGAAACTAGAGTTGGAAACTCTGGCAGAAACAGAGGGGTTTGGTTTTGAAACAAGAACTAATTTCCCCTCATTGATACGAACTCTGGGGACGAAGGGGTCAGAAAAACTGACTGTTGGAGACAGATCTGTCAGCAGCTCTAAGCTGGGAAAAACTGAATCTTTACAAAATATGGCCCCTCCCACACACATGCAAGTCTAGCTCACACAGACACAAAGGGTGACTGAGGGCAACCTGCAGATGAAACCCATCCCAGTGGACCCAGAACCGACACAATCAAGGTGTTACAGAAGACCAAAAACATATTAAGCATGCTTCCTAGAGAAAGGGAAGGACCCCGTTTATTAACATTAATGGACTCCAGGAATAATTTCCAAATCAGAATGAAGAAATACGCAGAGGGCTTCACTTTTTATAACCTTCTGGGGTCTTTGTCTTACAGATATGGTCCGCTCCCTTTTGTGGGATGACTGGAAGGCCCCTTTTGTGGAGCAATGATCATGGGAGGTTATGGTGAACAGGGGTGATGATAGCTTTTAGCTACTTCCTGCTGTAAAGGGACGATGATCAAGGGGTTAGCATCCTGTTTCTTTCTCTCAGAGGGGTTTTTATTGAGTTCTTCTGGTTTGTAAGACCATCTGAAATTTAAAGGCATTCTTGTCCAGTTTGCAGGCAGGCAGAGGTAAGCAGAGGTCCCACATATGTAGAATGCTCCTGCAGGGGTCACCAAGGGTAGGTGGTGTTTTCAGCCTTGGGGATAGAGTTGCATAGTTCATCTGGGAGGTGACCTGTTGGATGTTGACCATGTGTACTGCTAAAACAAATAGGAGCAATATTAGTTAGCTGCATATTGGCCATGACAGGTCTTATTAGTATTTTTTTCTGTCCAATACAATCCCCCCCCACCCCCATGTGCATTTGGTAGTAAAGCCATAACATGTCACAGGCTGATAAGTATAGCTAACAAAAGTCTGGTTTGATTGGGTTTTCTCGTGGACTACCCAGTCTAGCATATTTGGGTAGCAAGTTTCTAAGCAAGGAGCAAAAGATGGCATGACAAGGTGTAATCCAACAATTTATGATAAGGCCTTTGTTTCCTTGCTGTGTGGGGAGCATTAATTTCATAGTGTTTCTGTGTCCCAGCAAGAGCAGATGAGTTCTCCTCCTGGTACTATGAGTTCTCGGATTCCACTGGCACTCATAAAAAGACAAAAGAAGAATTACTAGATATAATAAAACCAGTGATTATCCAGAAATACTAGAGCATGTTACATTAGGAGGAGATAAGAAAGAAAGATTAGTGTTAGGGAGAATTCAGCAGGGTGTTATCTGAATTCTTTGGAGCAGGTTGCTCTGCCAGGTCTGCTGTCTTCTTGAGGGTGCTCCAAATGGGGTGTTTCTGGTCAGAGGTCACCTTCCACTCAGATTGGATGTCACTTGGCAGGTGGGCCGCCTTCATCTGGGGGTGGTGAATACAGGTGTTTAGTCCTACAATCTTAAGAGCTGTGGGGGGTGGTTAATATGACTGGATAGGGTCCCTTCCAGGTAGGCTTGAGGGGCTCCTTTTTCTAATGCTTTACCCAAACCTGGTCTCCAGGTTTCTAAGGATGTACAGCTGTTCCTAGAGAGATGGGTAGTTGGTCAATAACCCACCTGTGGAGCTCAAAGACAGTTTTTCCAAGATCTTATAGTTGTTTCTGGGTTTCTAAGTTCCCTATTTTCCACAAATCTCCCTTTGGCTGAACTAAGGGAGGGGGCCTACTGTATAAAATTTCAAAGGGAGAGAAACCTACCCTGGTGCTCAGGGCACAGCATACCCGCAGGAGTACAAGAGGCAAGATATCTGTCCAGGGTAAGGTTGTCTCTTGGCATAACTTAGCCATAGTCTGCTTTAGAGTCTGGTTCATGCTCCCCACTTTCCCTGAAGTCTGAGGCCTGAAGATTGTAGGGGTTTGGCAGTGCTAAATGTAGAGTTATAACAGCCTCATTAACAGCCCATAGAGCCTGCACTAGGCAGTAGTCGTTAGTCCAAAGCTTTTTGACAGGCAAGAGACGTGTGTTCCATGGAGACCTGCATCGTTTAACAAGTCCCCACTGAAGCAGCCAGTCTAAGTGGACCTAGATTCCTAGGTGTGCTTCCCTTGGAACTGGAAATTGGCGGATTTTTACAGGCTCTCACTTGATTAGCACTGGGGTGTGGTCCTTAGCCAGGCCTGGAGGATTCCTTTCTGCCCAGACTAGCGGGAATTCCTTCTCTAATTCAGGTTCTAATGGTGAGGACTTTGTCTTTCAGGTATAAAGTCTCCATTCTCCCTCCCTCTGCACTGCTAAGGACAGGATCATTTGGGAGGTCTCCTCACCTAGGCGAAGCTGTGCTGAGCCATCTGGAGCCCCCATTTTGGCTAAAAGGTCTCTACCCATTAGAGGCACTGGACAGTCTAGCAAGTACAGGAATTCATGAATTACCTGTTGACTGCCAAGTTGGCACTGACAAGGGCAGCAGAATGGTTTACTGGTCTGGTCCCCAGTAGCTCCAATAGTGGTGACCTCCTTTCCTGAGAAAGGCACTACTTTCTGAGTGACTACTGAGTGCTCAGTTCCTGTATCAACCATAAAGTCCACAGTCTGGCCCCCAGTTTTCATTCTGACCATGGGCTTATGGGGGTCTAATTGAAGTGAGCCAGGTCTGTCTTAGTCGGAATCAGCCATTGCTACTTCAATGAGATCTGCTTCACGTGGCTCTGGTTAATAGTGACTGGGTGGAAAGGGGGGCCCAGTCTTTTTACTTTGCCATTTGGGACATTCATTCTTCCATTTTTCTGTTTCCTTACAATAAGCACACTGGTCTCTTCTCAGGCTCACCCTTCCTTTTCCCCCTGGTCTGTATCCTTGCTGATCTGTCTGGGAGCCTGAGCCTCTAAAAGCTGCTGCTATTATATTGGCCTTTCTTTGTATTCTCTTTTCTTCCTCCTTCCTTGCTGCACTATCTCTATTGATGAAAACCTTGTTAGCTATCTCTCACAGTTCAGTAGCATTCTTTCCTGCAAACCCTTCCAGTTTCTATAATTTTCTTCTAATGCCAGGCTGGGCTTGTCCTACAAAAACGTCATTTACCATGGTTTGATTTTCTGGGGCCTCAGGTCTAAAGGGGATGCAGATCCGATATGCCTCACGTAGTCTCTCATATAAAGCTACTGGATTTTCATCAGGCTTCTGGAAAATCTCAGAGATTTTAGCCATGTTGGTAGGCTCCTTGGCTCCAGCCCTGACTCCCAAGAGGAAGGACAGCTGATATCTTTCTAGCTTAGTCCTTCCATATTCTGAGTTCGGGTTCCAATCGGGTTTCTCATCTGGTAAGGCCTTCTTGGCCCATCTGCCTGTCTCTAATATTCCTCCTGGGGCCTGGGTCTGAAGCCTCTTCCAAGGTTCTGTTACTACTCTCATGCGGTGGCCACATCCCGTTCTCTCCCCTCCAGGTATGCATAAAGAAGTCTCTGCCCAGAAAAATCCTGCCAAAAGACCTTTATAAGCCTCTGACTCTCCTCACTGGGTGCTGGCACCATCCAGGCTCAGCCAACTGGTGTGCAGATGATCTAATAAATTCATGATCCCTCACCACTCTGGCCTCGTGTGTTCCTCTTTCAGTGACCTAACATCATTCACTGCTGGTGGGAATGTAAACTGGTATAGCCACTGTAGAAAACAGTATGGGGGATGATTCTAAAAAAATAAGAATAGAGTTGTAGAATCTAACAGTCCCTCTTCCAGGTATCTACCATCAAGCTCAAAAACATTTATTCGCAAAAAATGTATATACCCCTGTGTTCATTGCAGCATTATGCATTTATTCGCAAAAAATGTATATACCCCTGTGTTCATTGCAGCATTATACATAGTGACCACAACATGGAGACAACCCTAGTGTCCTTCAATAGAGGATTGGATAAAAATGTGGTACATACATACTATGGATACTTCTCAGACATAAGAAAAAATGAACTACTGTCATTTTTAATAACATGAATTGAACTTGAGATTATTATCCTATGCAAAAAATGTCAGTCAGGCCCAGCCAGCATGGCTTAGTGCTTAAGTGTTGACCTATGAACCAGGAGGTCATGGATTAATTCTGCGTCAGAGCACGTGCCCAGGTTGTGGGCTTGATCCCCAGAATGGGGTGGGTAAGAGACAGCTGGTCAATGATTCTCCCTCATCGTTAATGTTTCTATTTCTTTCTCTTCCTTTCCCTACCTCTCTGAAATCAATAAAAATACATTAAGAAAGAAAAAAATGTTAGTTAGAGAAACCTAAGAACAATATGATTTAATTCATATGTGAAATATAACACTGAAACTCATAGACACAGACAACGCTATGTTGGTTACCAGATAAAAGAAGGTGGAGGGTAGTAAAGGGTAAAAATAAAAGCCAAATGTATATAATGGAAGATGATTTGACAAAGGGTTGTGGGCACATAATACAGTGTAAAGATCATGTATCAAAGAAATATACATTTGACCGGGACCGGTTTGGCTCAGTGGATAGAGCGTCGGCCTGCGGAATGAAAGGTCCCGGGTTCGATTCCGGGCAAGGGCATGTACCTTGGTTGCGGGCACATCCCCAGTAGGGGGTGTGCAAGAGGCAGCTGATCAATGATTCTCATCGATGTTTCTAACTCTCTATCCCTCTCTCTTCCTCTCTGTGAAAAATCAATAAAAAAATATATTTTTAAAAAAAGAAATATACATTTGAAACCTATATGATCTTATTTAAATAAACTACATCAGAAATAGATAAATTTACTTTAAATTTTTTACTAGTAATACTTATGATAAGACACCCATGGAATTACACTAGTGTCAGAATAAGCCAAAGGAAAATGATCTGGTTAAATGGAAAGGTCCTAAGTCTGGTTTATGGAAGGGTCATGACCCCTTGTTAACCTTTGGTTGAAGATATGCTTGTGTATTTCCAGAAAACTCCTCCAAGACCATGTTGACTCCTGCAAGGAACATTCAACATGGATCTGAGCAAGGAACTGACCAGACTATTCCAGCCACAGATAGCAGAAGCCTCAAACAACATGCTGAAGATGGGAGGAGAACAAGACAAGGAGGAAAAGTCCAGAGATGTCCTGGGAGATGGTGAAGAAGCCTTGTCATGCCAGCAGTCATCAGGTGTACAATGGGGCAGGTTGCCCTGGACAAAGCCAAAAAAGGTAAGACTTGCATTGGCATTGCCCTCCATTTGTCCACCACCCAGAACTCAAATATCATTACTGTCATGTCACAAGGGACAGTGATTGGGCAGGGGATTCATAAAGTAGGCCCAGAAAGGAGCCTACTGCAAACTAGTTCCTTAGATGCCTGGAAGCAATTTAAAAAGGACATAAAAGAATTCAACCATTTTCATTGTCTTATATATTTATTTCTAGTCTTCATACGTGGACTGAAAAGTCTTAAAAGAACCCAAGCCCTGCAGATGGCATACACCTTTCGAAATTTATTAAGAAAACAAAAAGGGGGAAATGCTGAAGGTTAAGACCAATAGTACTTAGCATATTAATGCAATATTCAGCAGGGCTAAAAATCAGCATAATATTGCCCTGCTGTTGGCCAAATAGCTCAAGGCAATCCCCTAACCTGATGATCTTCTTACTGTTTACCAATCTTCACTTTGGCTATGCTTGTATGCATTCCTAAAGGGCAAATGGGTATTCAAGTGAATAAAAGCAAACGGGACCCAGAAGTCAGGGAACTTCCCCACCAGAGGGAAGTTTCCACCTGGCTCCCCCATGGCTTCTAAATTCATATTTTTTTGATCTAATGTATTCATTTGTGTGTGGCTCCTTCTTCAGATCCTGAACCCTAGCTGCAAATGGATGTGGCATTCACAGCACACAATAGGATGTAAAGATCATGTTTCTGAGAAATATTCATTTTAAACCTATATGATCCTATTAACCAATGTTATCCCAATATATTTAATAGAATAAGTAAACAGATAAATTTCAAAAGGAATAAAAGAATTAAATTATTTCATTCTAGTTGCCAAAATAATAGGGGCATTAAAATCACAAGGGTCTTGGCCACCTGAAGATACTGAAGTCCAGAGATGACCTTGCCTGAGGTCAAACTCTAAGAAGAGGAATATGGCCAGACTAACCTAAAGCAGGTGAAAGTACAATTTTTAAGGGGGAAATCCATGGCTGAGGTGCAGGCCGAGGGAGTGTCTGGCTTGATTCCAGCATAGATCATGCCTCCCCAACCCAAATGAAGGAGAAGCACGAGGAACAGACTTGATGGGCAGATGACCTCATGGGAGGCCTATGAGCCATGCCTGCAGATGGGTCCTGGCTGCTGCTGGGAGTTAGAGGCCTTGAGAGCTCAGCCAGTGCATTTGGGCAGCACCAGGTGTTCTGAGTAGGAGAGAGCGACATGTGCGCAGCTGGAAGTGTTGAAGGAGTTTGGGGACAGCAAACCAAAATACTGTTCAACCTGATTTAGGCTGCTTTTCCCTCCCCCAAAAATCCAAAGTTCACATGAGTTTTTTTTCTTCTCAGTACCTTGAATTCACACCAGGTGGCAACCTTCCCTGTGCCTCCTCTATCAAGCTGCTTCCAAAACACATTTCCACCAGACTTTCAATTCCTTGCTTTACATTCTCCTCTCAACTCCAGTCAGCAGTGCCTCTGTTCCTACTCCATTATTTCAATCTCATTGACAAAGGCCAACAAAGGCCCTAAGTTGCCCAGCCTGATGGTTAATCTGCCTCCCTAAATCATCAAAACATTTTTAAAATCTCTCTTACTTCAGATTCTTATTTTAAGCTTAGCTTCATGGTATATCCACTGAGTCCTTTATGCTTTTGAAAAATATCCCATATCATATACCAGTGTGTGGTATGTGAGCCTCCTACTCTGGGGGAATGTGAGGAAGGCCATCTGGAAGTGGACTGTGGGTCCTTGGGAGCCTGGTGAGTGTGTGAGCCCAGACTGCAAACTGCAGGGAAACAGCCAGCATTTGGATCTCACACAGTTTACACACAAGCACACCCCACCCCTGCCCACACCTGCTTGCTTTGTTTTCTGGACTCTATATAACCGTGAATTGTGAAAGCCTGGGGTGAGGAAAACTTCACTTGCAGGCCACGCTGGTGTCCTCATAAGTCTAATAAACCGTGTCTTTCACAGCCAGTCCTCTGGTTTATTTCTTTAAAACCAGCAGGCAAGCTAGTCAGTTTGGCTCACTAGATAGAACTTAAGTCTGTGGACCAAAGGGTCCTAGGGTTGATTCCTGGTCAGAGCACATGGCTGGGTTGTGGGCTTGATCCCTACTAGGGGTGTGCAGGCAATCAATAATTCTCATAATTGATTTTTCTTTCTCCCTTGC